GTGATAAGCACTAAACTCATACTATTTGTGCCTTCAATAACAGCACAGCTTGGCACATTTTTTCTTGATTGGTAACAGAAAGTGGGATCTGAGCTCATTTTGAGTTCAAATACTAGATATTACGGACCAATAAAATGTTTTCAAGACCAGAAAAATACATTATACGGTTTAAACACAAATTTCCTATCTTGCAAACGTTTCAAGAAATATTATATTTTGTTTGATACGAAGACAACATTTTCAGAAACGCATCCACCGTGAAACCAGGAATAGAAAGCCCCTTTGACTTTAAGCATTGAACCTTTTTTTTGGTTTCTGTCAAAGATATCACAATGTCGTCAATTGATAATTTATCATAATATCAAAAACATTCTAACAATTTACACCATTTTCAAATATCTTGCATAGGAATCGAGATAAGCTCAAACTTAAAATAGTGGAATATATAGGTTTTGTTTTTCTATATAGGTTTTGAGGTATTTTCAAATTGAACTGTTTTTGNAACACGTTCTCCATTTTTCCTAACCTCAATTCCCTGAAGTCCAGTTTTTCGGCGTCTTTCAAGTGCTGCACCACGGTAAATGCAGTATGCTGATTTCGAAACATTTTCTAACAACACATTTCCCACAATCTTAACGGTATAGTGACTACTCTTGTTTTGAAAAAAATATGAGAATAAAAATGTGATAATGGACGAAGTTGGTAGGTGAAAATAGTCAAAATCGCATCATAATAGCACAGATTGAAAGCACAAGAGCTCGAATGTTTAACGCAAAAGACACATGTTTGATTTTCGCAATACTTTTAAACTTCTGATTATGAAAACATTGCTTTAAACAATAGAAAATCAAGAAAATAAAACAGAGAAAGAATGCAGGTTACCGTAGATTTGTTTTGGGACCTTCGGCAGGGGTAATCATAGTGACTTTTCTCCCACTCCAATCGTTATAGCAGAATTAAAAGTATATCCTTCAAAAAGAATAATCTACAAACGGTTTACATCTTCACCAGGCAGGGAATTTTTGATTCCATGGGTTGCAATGTCAATATTTAAACGGACAGTGCTTCAAAAATTTATTAAGAAATCAAAACAAGTTTTTCTCCAATGTTCACATTCCTGGAAGATTATTGTAGAGCTTGTTGCATCCACTGGTGACGAATTCTTGAGTCTTGGTTGGAGTGGTTTTCAAACAACATCTGAATCCGTTTCCAGTCATACACGATCCATCGTAGACAGCAGCACAGTTATGAACACAAAGGTTGTAGCAGGTTTGGTTGGTGGCAAGGGCATAGCTGTTCCATGGAGCACAGTTGTCATAAGAAGCTGCTCCTTGGACAGAAGAACAGTACTGCTGGCAGATGACCAAGGTGACAGAGGCAGCAGTTGAGAAGAGACAGAAGGCAAGGAGGATACGGAACATCTGAAATTCGGGTCGAATTGAAAAGCCATCTGAGGGATGGGAGTGACTTACCATGTTGAATGTGGTCAGACGAACTGATGAGGACTGACTCCCTAGAGCTTTTTTTAAACTGATTCCTGAATTGTGTGGGTGTTTCTATATTTCCTACTATGCCGTATTCAACAGTGCTGTATTTTTCTCTAAATGTGAGAGATCTACATATGGCCATTGAGAAGGATTCCGAGCATTGAAGTTCTATGAATCTGCTCTAATACCACCTACCCTCCGAAGGGACACCCACACATTAAGAGCGGATGCCATGAACATAATGAAATTCACTGTGTTGAAATTGGATTTTCATGACATTTTGTCCCTGATCTTTTTATAAAACATGCTCGGCAAAAATTCGAATTATATTGACATTTTGATGCACATGGCACCGAACGGCTTCCAAAGCGAAAATTGACATCAGAAACTTTTTTGACACCCACACCTACCCCATTCACATAAAGTTATGATACGGATCTTTTTTGAATTTTCCGACACATTTTCCGTACACCCACACTTTTTTATTTCATAATGAAACTTTTTTGCTTTCTTTTTGGCACATTTTGTGGGAGGAATTGCGTTGGCGTCGCTCTGGTTATGTTGCAAACTACCAGTCAGAAACCGAACAATAGTTTCCCATGTTGAACGATGAGAAGATAATTGAATATGCCTATTGTTACAAAGCCAATCCAAATTTTGACAGTCATGAGAGATCACTGGAAAAAGGAGATTTTTTCATGAGTAGTAAACTATTTCATAACGAAAGGATATATGTTTTCTAAAAAGGTCGTCGTCGAATCACTCGCAAACACAAAACGGAGCTTTCGAGCAACGAAATCGTATGACTCGATAAAATTCCCTCCGTTTGTGGCAAGAACAAAATGCGGAGGTGTTTATGCATATCCATTGAAACTCAATGTTAGGAAGCTCGGAATGCACATAGATCTGGTACAGATTCAAATTGGTTTGCAAACACATACATACAAACACCCACACAATTCAGGATTCAGTTTAAAAAGAGCTCCAGAGAGTCAATTCTCATCAGTTCTTCTGACACAATTTATATGGTAAGTCACTTTTCTTTCAGCTGCATTTGAATTTTTGTCCGATTTTCAGATGTTCCGCATCCTTCTCGCTTTGTGCTTCTTCTCCACTGCTGCCTCTGTCACTTTGGTCATCTGCCAACAGTACTGTTCCTCTGTCCAGGGAGCAGCTTCTTATGACAACTGTGCTCCATGGAACAGCTATGCCCTAGCCACCAACCAAACCTGCTACAACCTTTGTGTTCATAACTGTGCTGCTGTCTACGATGGATCGTGTATGACTGGAAACGGATTCAGATGTTGTTTGAAGACTACACCAACCAAGACTCAGGAATTCGTCACCAGTGGATGCAACAAGCTCTACAATAATCTTCCAGGAATGTAATTCTTATCAACAGAAGGGATATTAATTTTTCATAAAATATTTATTGCAAATTTTAGATATTTTTTCTTCGCCGAAGAAATTGTAAGAAAAACGTTTCCCGTTTTTTGGTTTTCCTGTTCTCAGCCGTAATTTCGATTTTCAAAATTTTGGGATTTTTCAATTTTAAAAATTCGGAATTTCGAATAATCCAATTTCGAAATTTTCGGGATTTCGTAATTTTCAGAATTTTTGGAAATTCAATTTCAAAGCCGAAATTCTATTTTTCATCACAAAGACGGTAAAAAGTCTGAAGTTGCCAGAAAAAATTTAAAAAACGCTGAAAACTTAGAGAAAATTTTCCCGCAAGCAATTTTTCGCAACGTACGTCCAGATGTCACTATTTTCGAAAAAAAAGCTTCAGAAATATTCCGGTCGGAATTTCATTCAGAAAAAATCTTTCGGAAATATTTCGACCGGATTTTTATTATTTTTGCAATACTCTAGGATCTTTTCGAAACTTTTGGTTTCACAAAGCATCTTGATATTTGTAACCACCACCAAAAAATGTACGAAACCACATCACAAGAATTTTAATTTGAACTTTTCGGGCAGCAGCAATATTCCATGACTCGGCTGAAACAAGGTTCAAAAATTTTCTTCAACATTTACATAGAAAATTGGCAATTAAAATTGTGTTGATCAAAACGAAAATCACAAAATTTGTTCTCGTCTCCACTAAAACAGGTCAGAATAGATTTCAAGCAACTATCATGTCGAGAGACAACTAAACCGATCATCCTGGTGGAGATAAGAATTTCTCAGAGAGTACATATTAAAAACACTTACCTGGTTCAACAATATTGCTGAATTTCTCGCTGTTCTTCAGTTCTCAATTTGGGAGTTCACAATTCAAAACAAGCACTAACACTGGCATGAATAAACTAAAAGTTCAAAAAATTCTGATTGGCCAGATAGGAGAACTCACAGCATCGGATCTTATCCGACGCATCACTGCAACCATCATTTTTCGCGCAATCCAATGTCGCATTTACACATTCTTCGTTGAAACTTCGAACTGATACGATCCGATTCTTGGCTTCGTAACAATAGGCATATTCAATTATCTTCTCATCGTTCAACATGAGAAACTATTGTTCGGTCTCATGACTGGTAGTTTGCATGACTGGTAGTACTGGTAGTTTATGAAGCACTGTAGTATCAAGTCACACTTGTTCAACTGCATCATGCGCATTAAAGCAGTCTGATATTCGGTCTTCTTGTTCAGGAACCAATGCCGCCAGATTCTGACGCACGTCTCTACCCGGACTATAAGGGAGACAAAACCTTTAACAAGACGTAAAACAATGTAACGGGAAATCCGTAAATAATTACCACATCTACAGTCTTTCTCTAAAATCTACATCCTTGACATTCTCGACATAAATAGGAATGTCTAGAGCACAAATATACATAAAACGAATTATACAACGAACTACCAACAGTTGTCCCACCAGTCTTCTCCAAAGACGATGAACAGTTCCTACACGAACACAACATTAACCCAAAGAAATTGATGAAAACTCAGTGACAAACCGACGAATTTCATCATTGGGTACAAAAGTTGGCCGCCATCAACAACTTGGCCACCATCACTCGGATACCACTCATCCACGTGCAGTTCCAAAAAACTTTGACCTAAAAACCATAACCGCCTGGAAACCCAGCACATATGCGAAGCTCGCTTGGCATCGAATCTCCGCCGGCGCTTCAAAGCAAAAAAAAAAACCACTAAATGAAAAGCTTACCAAACAGTTCAAATCAACAACAATATGAGACGAACAGAAAGAAACCTACTCACAGTTTCCTTTCAACGGAACATAGCAACAGCTGAGAGACCACAATTTCGTGGCAGGAAAACGTCTTTTTGCGTCGCTAAAAACAATCTCAAAACATTGCCTACCTACAGGCAGATGACAAAATCATACAGTAGCTAACCAATGGAATCATCGTTAGTTCCACAAGACGAGGCAGACATTGTCCTTCACTACTATACCCCACATAAAACGTCAGCTCACACCAAAATAACGAGCTGTCATTGAACCACTTTCTAGGATCATCTATCCTGAAATCAATTCGAGGAATCTTCTCAGTTCGAACACAACGTCATCTGTTCACAATAGAAACGTCAAACAGTTCTTGTGGCTGAAAAACACAGCCAAACGATCAATAAACCAACGTAATCAACAGTATTGCGTATTGCATTATTGGAAATCACAATTTCTCATCTCACTATATTGGAAACTAAAATTAACCATCTAATGTTTTTAGTCAGCAACAAACCGCGAATGTTGCAATTTTATCATCACACATTCATGAGAAATCAGGAAAATTTATTTCATCATCAATCAAATTTTCCAAAACTCCCAAAAGGCTCAAACCACCTTGTAAAAATTAAACAAGAAAAAATTCGGAACTAGTAACATCAAAGTGACATAGTCGAAGAGAAAACTATCTTTGAAGTTTTGCTCCACACTTACACCATCAAGGAATCTGGCCTGATTTCCAAATATAACTCAAACATTTCGTTTTGGGTGCAATATCAGAAATATTAGGGGTTTGCAAAAGTAATGCGCATCAAGTTTGGTGTTTTGTATCTCACCCAAAACAAACGGTTTGTGTTCAATTTTGTTTTGTTTTAAAAAGCGCGTTCTTGGGCTTCATTTTGTTATATTATATTGCTGTTTCAATTTGATTTCTATGAAAAAAACATTCTAGACGATGTCCGACCAAAAATTTCGCCTTCGAGCATTTTTGTGGCACCAATTTAAGGAAGGAAAATCGGCTGCCGAAGCTCACCGCTCACTTTCTCCTGTATTCGGTGAAGAAGCTATATCCGAAAGTCAGTGTCACCGCTGGTTTCAGCGCTTCAGGAGCGGAGATGAAAGATTGGAAGATGTATCGCGCCCTGGTCGTCCAGAGCAGGTGGACAACGATGCCTTGAGAGCAGCAATTGAAGTGGATCCTTGCCTAACTACTCTCAGTCTCTCGGAGCAGTTCGACTGCGATTTTTCCACAATTTCTGGTGGAACACACGAGGTCTCGTGCATTTTGAACTTCTGAGACCTGGTCAAACGGTGAATGCGAACCTTTACGAAGATCAGCTGGACCGTGTGGATCAAGCTCTCAAACGCCAAGCCGTGGACACTTCGACAACACTCTTGCTCCATGACAACGCTCGACCACACACTGCAAAAATCATTCAGCAGAAAACTCAGGAGCTGGGCTGGGAAGTGCTGCCTCATCCGCCATATAGTCCCGATTTGGCACCATCGGACTATCACCTATTCCGATCCATGCAACATCATCTGGCCGAGAAAAAATTCGAAAGCGGTGAAGCAGTGCAAATTTGGGTGGCGGACTATTTCGAGTCACAGCCATAGGAGTTTTTCAAGAAAGGCATCGCTGAATTGCGCACACGTTAGCAGCAAGTAGTGAACAATAATGGAGAATATCTTATTGATTGATGATCTCTTGTTTTGGTTTTACAATAAAAGGAAGTTGCATCAAAAACGAGCATTACTTTTGCAAACCCCTGATACAAAGATTAACACGGCCTTGAACACATCAATGCCATACTGCAAGATCAAATTACCAAATCAATTTGGTATCCATCAAATCCAGCAACTAAGAATTTGGCCAAATGACAGCTGACATAATCATCAGAAAAATATCGGATAACGGACCCATTCAGGTCAGTCAATAACGCCCTACAGCAGCGGTTCTCTCTTTTTTTTGAGACGTTTCTTGAGCCGTCACAAAACAAAAGAATATGAACAAATTTATACAGATCGAAACAACACAGAAAAATTGTTGAGAAAGTCTCATTAACTTTCGCAACAACATAGCCTAGCAGGGCTTATATCAAGTTCTTCTCGTCGGCCCCAGTGTCGCGGCAGCAGATCCACTACTGCACGACTACAACCTAGAAACACCTCTAGATAGACGCCATTCGTCTCACACAGTAAAATTATATAAAATCATACAACCAATAGTCTATTCCCGTGAATTCCAACGTGATAAATCTATTGCTATCTTCCAATCTGCCCTGACCTCCACGACCTCCACGTCACCAACTCCTCCCTCTCGGAAGGCTATATAAGGAAAAGGCATCGACAAGCAAATCAGAATAATCACTCTCCCCAATTGCCGCTCAACTTCATTGCTCCAACAGCAGTTCCCGATGCCGGATCTCTGCAACCAACGAAGAAGGCTCCTCCATCATCCAGAAGCTCCTTGGTTCCGACAACAAGAAGGGATTATTTGAACTCTCATTTAAACTCGAATAAACTATTGGTTGATATTCCTTGTACTTAATTCTGGCACAGGAACCACCACCCCTATGTGCCGGAACATAGTGCATCGACCGGATTCCACGGTACACAACGCCGTGGCAACCCATTGGTGGCAAGGAATTCAATCAATTAGTCTCGAGACATACAAACAACCGCAGAGCTTCATCAAGGCAATAAGGTTCAAGCGAAAATTCTCACTCACAAATTCATCACATGAGTCTTTTAACTACAGTATGCTGACTAATTCTTTATTAGTGCATTTATTTAGAACCCTCTCTCCTGGCTTTATTTTTTGTTTAGTCTTACACGGGAACCACTTCATATGTTATTCGGCCAGCCAAACTGGCCCGGGTTTTTGAGGCAAATTTCTTAAAGAGTCTTTCACTTTAGACGGCTGACCAGTAAAAATGCATTGTTTTTTCAAAAAAGAAAATCAAAATCCGAATGAAACCTTTTAAATAGATTAAACACATTTTGCGATTTACAGAGAAGTCAGAAAAAAAACACAAAAAAAACATTCGGTAGAGTGGGATCGAACTGAACCCTAGTCAGTTACCTCTACCCCTCTTCACCACTACACCACACTTCGCTGTTTCTCACAGCTTCCCCACTTCGTATAAGAAAGGGGGAGATCACGCTAACGTTTATAGGGCTTGAACCAGAGGTGAAATTTCAGACGCATTTTTCAGCTTTTAGGTACATGCGGGGAGAAAAAAAAATTGTCTCGTTATTCACCATTTTTGAAAGTATATGTGTTTTCCAATTTTCAGAAAATTCTCAACGCCTGTCTGATAACACTTCCCTTGTTAGATGAATGAATTAAACTGATCATCTTTTTATACCCGTACAGAACAAATGAAGTGAAGCCGGTATAGCATTATGTAGTTGCCACGATTTGATCTATTAGGTTGGCGGGAAAGTCTTTGTCACTCTGTTTGTTTAATCACTGTTCTCGTATATGGAGGCTGTGTATGATATCGACTCTAGTGAATAACAAGGTGATAAGAACCTTCCATATAAACAAGTCCCCATCTCCTTTCCTGCTCCTCATCTGTAATTGAAACGATATGTTTGTTCCCACTGCTATTCACATCAGACATGTTTTGATTTACCTCTTCCTATCTCACACCACGATGAAGGATTCGGAAACTTTCTTGAAGAATGTGTACAACACACATGCCCCTCACTACAATACTATTCGCAATTGGTTCCATCGTTTCGAAAAAGATGACTTCTCGCTCGATGAAAAGGATCGCTCTGGGAGACCCCGTGAGTTGGATTTGGACAAGCTGAAGCACGCATTGCAATCGGATCCATTTCAATCTAGCCGTGAACTAGCTGTCACATTCGGAGTTCACCATAGCACAGTCCTTGAAGGTTTGAAGTCTCTTGGAATGAGAAAACTTTTTGGTCGATTCATACCTCATCACCTGACTCAAGCCAACCTTGACCGCCGAGTCGACGATTCGATTACTCTTCTCACTCTCCACGCGGGCGATCGATGGCTGGACCGGCTAATAACCGGAGATGAGAAGTGGGTCTTCTACGATAATCACCACAGGAAATCCCAGTGGGTTGGAGAAGGAGAGAGCCCACAGGATGTCCCCAAACCCGACCTTCATCCGAAAAAAGTTATGCTCTCTGTGTGGTGGGGAGTGGACGGCCCCATCTACTGGGAACTTCTGCCCGAGGGCAAAACAATAACTGGAGACCTCTACACTACTCAACTACGAAACCTCAAGAAAGCAGTCGACCGTTCGGCCCTGAAAGACAAGAAAGTGTACTATCAACATGATAACGCTCGCCCACATGTTTCGAAACAAGTGAAGCAGGAGCTGATGGGATATGGATGGAATGTTCTCCCTCACCCCCCGTATTCTCCTGATCTTGCTCCTTCCGACTATTGGTTATTTGGCGATATGACACGTGCCTTCGAAGGAAGAAGCTTCAATTCCCGTGGAGCGGTCGAAGCGGCACTCAAACAATACTTTGCCTCACGCCCGGCTGGATTCTACCGCAATGGAATCCATAAATTGAGGGAACGTTGGAGACATGTTGTTGATAATGATGGACAATATAATTAATTATTCGGTTATTTTTTCTTTGAGAAATAAACTATTGAAAAAGTGACAAAGACTTTCCCGCCAACCTAATAATATAAATTTTTACATTTTTATATATTTTCTGACTTTCTGTGAATTCACAATTCGTAACAAGAATCAAATACCAAATCATTTCTCAACTCCACCAGAACAGGTCAGAATAGATTTCAAGCAACGTACAGTCGAGAGAACATCTAAACCAATCATTCTGGTGAATTTCGAATTAAGAGAATTCATGAAAATCTTAATGAATGATAATTAAAACAACGTGTTCTATGGTATTTCAGAGCTATACTTGTGCTAAGCCAGTCGTCGGTGGTCAGTGGGATATGATCAGAATGAGGATTTTCTGATTCTATCCATTCCAACATTTAGCCAGACGAATTCGGCCAAAGGCAAGTCCTACGATTATTGCCGGCCGCCATGTCTTCTACTCCGTGATCGATGTTTTCCGTTTTCAATCATAAGAACACCAACATTTTATTAATTGACAAATTTTATATATCTTTTCTAGGAACCGAGATAATTAAAGCTTGAAGTATAAGTAAAAAAAACAAAATTCCAACCTATTTGTTCACTTTGAGCCCAATTATCTCGGTTTCTAAAAGAGATATCAAAAATTTGTCAACTGATAAATTGTTAATCATAATAACACCAACATTTTATTAATTGACAAATTTTATATATCTTTTCAAGGAACCGAGATAATTAAGCTTGAAGTATAAGTAAAAAAAACAAAATTCCAACCTATTTGTTCACTTTGAGCTCAATCATCTCGGTTTCTAAAAGAGATATCAAAAATTTGTCAACTGATAAATTGTTAATCATAATAACACCAACATTTTATTAATTGACAAATTTTATATATCTTTTCTAGGAACCGAGATAATTAAGCTTGAAGTATAAGTAAAAAAAACAAAATTCCAACCTATTTGTTCACTTTGAGCTCAATCATCTCGGTTTCTAAAAGAGATATCAAAAATTTGTCAACTGATAAATTTTTGATGATATTATGATAATTAATTGATCAGTTGACAAAGAAAAAGAAAAGAGAGAAAACCATGTTGAAGACTACTGAATTGATGGAGGAATTCCCATTTAATGCGATCACATACCAATCGTTCGAAAATTCGAGCGAATGGGTCAGTAAGCGAAATGGGGCGATAGTTTTCGGGCGATGAAGGAGAACCCTTTTTTGGTATGGGAACGACTACTGCGTGTTTCCAATAGTCGGGTACATGTGACGTGGAGAGTGAGTCAGAGAAGATAATCGATAAAGGTAATGCTAGAGTGGTGGCGCATTTTTTAATGATTAGGTAATTGGCCGAATCTTTTTTCCCATGTCCAGTGTTATAAAATTTGTGGGTCCGAAATTAGATATTTCAAAATTTCAAAGTATTTCTTTAAGTTTTCGCCAAGTTATGGCGGTCTAAATCGGTGTCAATAATTGATGCCCAGGAATCTAGATGAATTGGCTCAAAGCTGACTGCACGCTGTTACACGACTGTTACACGCAGGGGATTCGCAGACTGTTTGTCAGAAATTCATTGCGTCTATGAAAAAATGAATCAGAAAACAAAAGCATTCGTTTGTTTTTTGAACCTAATATTCAGTTTTATTAATATTTTGTTTGTTTGCTTGAACATAATTTTAATAAAATTTTTATTTTATTAAGAAATAGAATTGAGACAAGTGAGAATACGATGGCGATATGATAAGGCGAGTCATTCTAGTTCCCAGTCGAACGGAGATTCCGGATTAAACATTGGCTGGTCCGAGATCATCTTAATCAAATCGTTAACGGTAGTTCCGGTACTACCCTCAAATTCATCACAACAATCCTTGAGAGTTCTGTTCTGAATTGAGACTTGTTCCGTTACATTCAAAACGTCCATGATGTCACGACGTGTAGAAATCGGGTCCGCCGGAACGGCACACCCGAAGTCATGCAGGATGATCCGTTTTTTCTGGAATTTTATTCATTATTGAACAATTATTTATTTTTAACTTACGCCAGCACTATTTGGAACACCAACGTTTTTGAAGGAGATATCCCCGTGGGCTATTCCGGATTCATGAACTGATTTGATGGCGACGAGGGAATGGAGTAGAATCAGTGTAGTTGTATTCGAGGTGAATTTATTGTTGTTATTCTCTGCTTGAAGCTCATATAGACTCTTCCCTTCCATTGAAATAACTGAAAACAAATTTGAATTTTCGATTTTGAAACTTTGTGTACTCACTGAAAAAGGACGAATTGTCTGGATTTACTCCGAATTCCAATGGAGTGGGGATATAATCGAACGGAGCGAGACGGATCATTATTTCAAATTCATTCTTCATTTCACTGTCATCTTCATATTTGAGCTGTTTTACGGCGACTTCTGAATGTGACTCCAATTCTTTTGCTGTGTAGATGAGCGAGAAGTATCCTTCGTTAATTAACTTAATCACTTCATAGCGATTATTTAAAATTTGGTGCATTGGGAAAAGACTGAAAATACTGCTTTAATTCTTTAAATCATTTTTTGGCGTTACCTCATATTCGAAAGGCGAGTATGGTTTGTACGAGAAGAAAAGGCGCCGACTACTGAAAATTCAATTTTTCTAGTTATCGTTTTTTCTAACAAAAGTCCACCTTATACGTACACTTTGAGCTCAATTATCTCGGCTTCTAGAAAGATATTAAAATCTTGTCAACTGATAAAATGTTGGTAATGTTATGATAAAGAATTCATTCGTTGACAAATTTTTTTATCTCTGATAAGAACAGAAATAATTGCGCTTAAAGTCCACGTATAAAGTGTTCATTTAACATTCTATTCATTTTACATACACTTTGAAACTTTTAAGCTCAATTATCTCGATTCGAATAAGAGATATCAAAAGTTTGTCAACTGATCAATTAATTATCATAATATCATCCAAATTTTATCAGTTGACAAATTTTTGATATCTCTTTTAGAAACCGAGATAATTGAGCTCAAAGTGCACAATTAGGTTAGAATTTTGTTTTTTTTACTTATACTTCAAGCTTAATTATCTCGGTTTCTGAAAAGATATATAAAATTTGTCAATTAATAAAATGTTGGTGTTATTATGATTAACAATTTATCAGTTGACAAATGTTTGATATCTCTTTTAGAAACCGAGATAATTGAGCTCAAAGTGCACAATTAGGTTAGAATTTTGTTTTTTTTACTTATACTTCAAGCTTAATTATCTCGGTTCCTAAAAAAGATATATAAAATTTGACAATTAATAAAATGTTGATGTTATTATGATTAACAATTTATCAGTTGACAAATTTTTGATATCTCTTTTAGAAACCGAGATAATTGAGCTCAAAGTGCACAATTAGGTTAGAATTTTGTTTTTTTACTTATACTTCAAGCTTAATTATCTCGGTTCCTAGAAAAGATATATAAAATTTGTCAATTAATAAAATGTTGATGTTATTATGATTAACAATTTATCAGTTGACAAATTTTTGATATCTCTTTTAGAAACCGAGATAATTGAGCTCAAAGTGAACAAATAGGTTGGAATTTTGTTTTTTTTACTTATACTTCAAGCTTAATTATCTCGGTTCCCAGAAAAGATATATAAAATTTGTCAATTGTTAAAGAGATTGGTCTATAGTTTAAAGGATCGAAGCGGGAGCCTTTCTCATAAAGCGGCATAACAATCGCCTCCTTCCAAGATCTTGGGAGGAAACATCGTGAATAGCTGCTGGTCATCCGGTGTTTGGCTTGAGTTTTCCTAGATCTTCCGGTCGACGTCTCCGAGATCTACATGCCGACGTCTTCCACCTTTATCAATTGTGTAATAACCATAAAAGCATTAAATTATTTTAATAAAATTCGAATGAAGACACAGATTGGGCAAGGGGAAAAATGACGAAAATGAACGATAAATGAGCGGATTGACTTTTTTTGTATCTCATATGTATTAGGTTGTTCGGAAAGTCCTTTCCATTTTTGGCGTTAGATACGTTCAATGTAAAAAAGTCAAAACGATGTCGGATGAATTGGGGGTAATAACCATTGTTATCAATGACTGTCTGTCAACGTTCCTTTAAATTGTGTAAGTAAAAAAACAAAATTCCAACCTATTTGTGCACTTTGAGCTCAATTATCTCGGTTTCTAAAAGAGATATCAAAAATTTGTCAACTGATAAATTGTTAATCATAATAACATCAACATTTTATTAATTGTCAAATTTTATATATCTTTTTTAGGAACCGAGATAATTAAGCTTGAAGTATAAGTAAAAAAACAAAATTCTAACCTAATTGTGCACTTTGAACTCAATTATCTCGGTTTCTAAAAGAGATATCAAACATTTGTCAACTGATAAATTGTTAATCATAATAACATCAACATTTTATTAATTGACAAATTTTATATATCTTTTCTAGGAACCGAGATAATTAAGCTTGAAGTATAAGTAAAAAAACAAAATTCCAACCTATTTGTGCACTTTGAGCTCAATTATCTCGGTTTCTAAAAGAGATATCAAAAATTTGTCAACTGATAAATTGTTAATCATAATAACATCAACATTTTATTAATTGTCAAATTTTATATATCTTTTTTAGGAACCGAGATAATTAAGCTTGAAGTATAAGTAAAAAAACAAAATTCCAACCTATTTGTGCACTTTGAGCTCAATTATCTCGGTTTGTAAAAGAGATATCAAAAATTTGTCAACTGATAAATTGTTAATCATAATAACATCAACATTTTATTAATTGTCAAATTTTATATATCTTTTCTAGGAACCGAGATAATTAAGCTTGAAATATAAGTAAAAAAACAAAATTCCAACCTATTTGTGCACTTTGAGCTCAATTATCTCGGTTTCTAAAAGAGATATCAAAAATTTGTCAATTGTTAAAGAGATTGGTCTATAGTTTAAAGGATCGAAGCGGGAGCCTTTCTCATAAAGCGGCATAACAATCGCCTCCTTCCAAGATCTTGGGAGGAAACATCGTGAATAGCTGCTGGTCATCCGGTGTTTGGCTTGAGTTTTCCTAGATCTTCCGGTCGACGTCTCCGAGATATACATGCCGACGTCTTCCACCTTTATCAATTGTGTAATAACCATAAAAGCATTAAATTATTTTAATAAAATTCGAATGAAGACACAGATTGGGCAAGGGGAAAAATGACGA